ACTCAAAAAAGGGGATCCGTCTTGAAAGATAAAGCGGAGTGCAGAATCACTCGGAGGTCTGACTGTCATTGGCATTCGGCTGCAGATTTTCACCCCCCCCGGTCCTCCAGAAGCAAACAGTTAAGGCCGCCTTAAACGTGTTGTGTGTGTTGTGTGTGTTGTGTGTGTTGTGTGTGTTGTGTGTGTTGTGTGTGTGGGTGTGTGTTGTGTGTGTGTGTTGTGTGTGTTGTGTGTGTGTGTGTTTGCTTTGTGTGTTGTGTGTGTGTGTGTGTTGCGTGTGTTGTGTGTGTTGTGTGTGTGTGTGTGTGTCTTGTGTGTGTCTTGTGCGTGTGTGTGTGTGTGTTGTGTGTGTGTGTGTTGTGTGTGTGTGTGTGTTGTGTGTGTGTGTGTGTTGTGTGTGTGTGTGTGGTTGTGGTGTGTGTGTGTGTGTGGTGTGTGTGTGGGTGTGTGTGGGTTGTTGTGTGTGTGTGTGTGTGGGTGTGTGTGTGTGGTGTGTGTGTGTGTGTGTGTTGTGTGGTGGTGTGTGTGTTGTGTTGTGTGTGGGTTGTGTGGGGTGTGTGTGTGTGTTGTGTGTGTGTGTGTGTTGTGTGTGTTGCGTGTGTGTGTGTTGTGTGTGTTGTGTGTGTGTGTGTGTGGTGTGTGTGTGTGTGTTGTGTGTGTGTGTGTGTGTGTGTGTTGTGCTTGTGTGGTGTGTGTGTGTGTGTGTGTGTGTGTTGTGTGTGTGTTGTGTGTGTTGTGTGTGTGTGTGTGCGTTGTGTGTGTGTTGTGTGTGTGTGCTGTGTGTGTGCTGTGTGTGTGCTGTGTGTGTGTGTGTGCTGTGTGTGTGCTGTGTGTTGTGTGTGTTGTGTGTGTTGTGTGTGTTGTGTGTGGTGTGTGTGGTGTGTGTGGTGTGTGTGGTGTGTGTGTTGTGTGTGTTGTGTGTGTTGTGTGTGTTGGTGTGTTGTGTGTTGTGTGTGTTGTGTGTGTTGTGTGTGTTGTGTGTGTTGTGTGTGTTGTGTGTGTTGTGTGTGTTGTGTGTGTTGTGTGTGTGTGTTGTGTGTGTTGTGTGTGTGTTGTGTGTGTTGTGTGTGTGTTGTGTGTGTTGTGTGTGTGTGTGTTGTGTGTGTTGTGTGTGTGTGTGTTGTGTGTGTTGTGTGTTTTGTGTGTTTTGTGTGTGTTGTGTGTGTTGTGTGTGTGTTGCGTGTGTTGGGAGACAAGATCGATCTTGCAGTGTGTTTGTGTGCACATGCTCGTGTGCTCGTGTGCACGCGGCGTGTGCTTGCGCGTGGGCGTGTGTGTGTGCGTGTGTGGGCGTGTGTGCGTGTGCGTGTTTGCGTGTGCATGTGGGGGCGTGCGTGTGCGTTTTGTTTGTTTTTTTGTTGTGTGCGTTTGGGAGTGTGCGTGTACGTGTGGGGATGTGCGTGTGCGTGTGGAGGTGTGCCTGTGCGTGTGGGGGTGTGCATGTGCGTGTGGGGGTGTGCGTGTGCGTGTGTGTGCGTTTGCGTGTGCGCGTGGGGGTGTGCTTGTGGGTGTGGGGGTGTGCGTGTGAGGCACGTGCGTGTCATCTGTGCCTTGTAAGTACGTCTGTGTGCGTGTGAGAGCGGTGAGTGCATGTGAGTGTGTGTGAGTGCCTGTGAGTGCGTGTGGAGGTGTGCATGTGCGTGTGTGTGCGTTTGCGTGTGCGCGTGGGGGTGTGCTTGTGGGTGTGGGGGTGCGTGTGAGGCACGCGTGTCATCTGTGCCTTGTGAGTACGTCTGTGTGCGTGCGAGAGCGGTGAGTGCGTGTGTGCGTGTGTGTGTGTGGGGCATGTGAGTGTGTAGGTGCGTGTGAGTGGGTGTGAGTGCGTGTGAGTGCATGTGAGTGCGTGTCTGTGTAAGTGCGTGTGAGTGTGTGTGAGCGTGTGTGTGTGCGCGCGTCCCCGTGCGCGCGCGCATGCGCGTCCCTGTGCGCGCGTGCGTGCGCGTGCATGCACACGTCCGTGCACCTGCTTGCAGGCATGTAGGCACGCAGGGAGCAGGTGGCATGCCGAACCGGTGCTTGCATGTGGGGCAGTCGGGAGTGCGGCGTTCGCGGCCAGTGGGCAGCGGCATGGCATGCCGGCACGCAAGTGAGTGAGACCTGCAAGCCGATAGGCAGCCCCTCTGGGGCACAGGCAAACAGTCAACACAGCAAGTGACATTGTAACACTCGCTTGCATGTCAAAGCTACAACTACTTGACGTTCATTGCTGTACAAACGCGAGGAAAGCAGCAAAATGGTTCTCCCAATTGGTGTCGTTTTTCGCAGGCACGCAGGCATGGCATGCAGGCATGCAGACATGCAGGCAGAGCTCACGCAAGGACCTGCGCTTCTTGGGCTGGCCTTCTAAGTCTTGCGCCGCCCTCAGACGTAGTGGCTGGTGTGTCCTTCCGTTTCCTTCACCCTCAGAAGCAGGGCTGCAGGCATGCAGGCATGCAGGCATGGCATGCAGGAATGCAGGCATGGCATGTAGGCAAGGCATGCAGGTGATGTACGCGGGTGCGTGCGTGCGTGCCTGCCTGCGTGGGTTTGGGCGGGCGGACGCGCAAGCGAGCGTGCGCACGCCGCACGCATGTTCGCGTGTGCGTGTGTCCGCGCGCGGGTGCATGCGTGTACGTGGTTGCCTGTGGGTGCGAGCGCTATGTGCATACACGCAAGTCACGTGTTCGCATGCCCACACACGCTTGATCGCACGTACATGCGCATATTTCCCTTCGTTTGTAACGGCACGTGCGTGTCCGGCCTTCATACATGCACACAAACGCGCGCGGGGGCACGCACACATGCGTTGAGCATGCACACGGCACGCACGTGTTGGCATGCACACACAAATGTGCTGACACACATGATCGCACATGAATTCAAAATGCACACAGGCACGCACGCACGCACATGTTCGCATGTGTTCGAATGCACACGTGTATAGGGCCATATATGCACACAAGTGTACACACCTGTGATTTTCGTCCTCGCCTGGTAACAATTCCGACCGCCAAAAATGTTTCCACGAAACCGTCGGTAACGCAGCGCCCCCCTTGGAAACATTTCCTGAAGCGGGGCCATGCGATGCAATGCGCGTGCACTACATGCACACTCACATACACATATGTCCGTAAGTGTGTACGCACTCGCACATGCACGCATGATCACGCACGGGTATGCCTGCGCGCAAGCATGCGTCTGTACGCACACATGCCCACGTCCGATGCGCTTGCACACAAACATGTCCGCACACAGGCACCATCAGGCGCGTGCTACGCTTGCATGCACACGCATTCGTCATTGCACACGCACGTACCTGTTTATTTTTTGCCCGCGCGCAGGCGTACATCCGTTTTCACACACACATGCGACATGTTCGCGCATCCGAGTGTTTCGTATGCACATACGATCACATACGCACAATACGCACACGAGACCGCGACGCACAGGTTGCGCAGATACGTGTCCATGCCATCCCATGCTCATGCCCACAGTTGCGCAAAAACCCAAAAATGTGCGAAGAGTTTTGCTTTTCCAGGCCTTCTATTCCGCGCGCGCTGTCCGCAAGTCGGCTGGAGAGCGCTGCACCCGGCGTCGGCTCGGCGCTGGCGCCGGCCCACCCGCAAGCGCGTCCCCGGGCCCGGCTCCGTAGGTCAAATAATGTCGCACAAGTCTATTGCAAGTCTATCGTAGATGCGCGGATGATGGCCTGCAAAGGCTGGTATCTGCTGGTCCTCGGGCCACCGCTGGCACATGCTGAAACACAGCCTGGCAGTGCTTCGTGTGCAACCTCGTCACCTGCGAGCTCTTCACGCTCTGTCCGCAGTGCGAGTGGGCGTCCGCTGGCGGGGCGAGGCGCTGGAAGCCCTCACCGTGTCGATCTAATGCACTTTGCCCGGCTGCCCCACAGCCAGGGTCGAGCGATGGCCTCCCTCTGCGGCCCAACGCCGGGACCGTGTGCCCGAGAGTGGAGCACCGCAGGAGTAGCAATGAAGCTCTTAGTTGCGTGGCAAAAACAAACCTTTGGAAATCCAAGGTCTGGTCGTCCACGGCAAGAGATATATTCCTCCCGTTGCCCACCGACACGAACGATATGCCTCCATCCGTGCGTAGCTGCACGAACCCTAACCGACTTCAGACGAAGATGGGGTCACCAGGATGTGCTTCGCCGCGAGCAAACATGCACAATCGCAAGACCATGAAAACGCGCGTCATGCTGGAGGATCTTGCTTGTGAATCGGAGCCCTCCCAAAGCTTTCAACTTTACACCTCAAACCCTGCACACAGCTGGCAAGCAACAAGCAACACAGGTGAAGGGACAGTGCGAGCTCTTGTTGTCCCACACATGCCGCCTAAGGCTTGCCATCCCCCCTCCCCCCCCAAAAAAAAAAACCCACGCTTGTTGCACGACGGGCATGCCGCCTTCCCCCCCTCACCCCCGCTACCCCTTCCTGCCGCCTCGTTACCCTTGCCGAGGCGGCCTCGCGTTAGCGATCAAATTATGCCGCACTGAGTCACAAAGGAAGGAACTTGTGTGGACATCACAGGCAATGTCAGCAATCGTTTTCATACGCTTCACATTGAGTTCGGGGTTGTCTGTACATGCCGGAGCCACAAAGCCATCCTTTGGGGCTTTGCACCTTCTGGATCACGTGGACCCGCTTCAGAGAATGCTTCAGGCACCCTCATTATCATGATTACATAACCCTGCGGGCGCGAGAGCTAGTTGGAGTGGAAGGGCCTGACGGAACCATCCCAGCTACACAGACCGAGTAAGCACTAAACACTGAGTCACAGGCTCGGCCTCCCTTGCTCCGAATGCACGAATATATGTGCCCCAAACCACTCAACTCAGAATGCTTCACTCGGGCGCCTACAACATCACACCAGTGGCTCGGGACTGTAGAAGGCGAGGGTTGCGAGTGTGCAAATGGGTCTCGCCGTCTCGCTCTCTCTCTATCTCTCTCTGCCTCCCTCTCTTCCTCCCAGCAGGTACACACCAATGAAGCAGTCCTATTGTTTCACCAATCGCAGATCAATGGTCCCTCTGGCAGCGCGGTACCAGTGACGTTCACGTGCTGCATTTCCATGACAGCCATCAGCCAATACGGGACAGCCATCAGCCGCGACGCCCAGAACTTATTGAGCTGTTCTGCCACACAATTCTTGTGCTGGGTAGGTTGTGTGAGGTATTTCTCGCCGTTGGTGCAAGTTGGCCAAGCTGGGCACTTCTGCCCAGCGGCCTGCTCTACGCAGTGCCAAGCGCACGTCCCTTCTGCACTGCAGCCCCAGGCCGCATCCGACCAGTGTGTGCCGGGAGGGTCTGTTTCACCACAAGGTGTCCGCAGGCCAAGTATAAGGTTGCACCATATTGTATAGGGCTGATCGGTGTAGTCCGTGATCTTACGGAGGCGGTCTTCTTTTGCCTTCGTGGTGGTCATGAACACTTGCTTGGCATAGCACAAGATGTGTCTCTGAAAAACAATCCGATGACCCGAGGAACGGAACCGCTTCGCGGCGCCGAAAAGCACCGACATGACCGAGATGTGCAAAGCAGCAAACTGTTCCAAATAAATGCCTTTCGTCGTGGTCATGGCAGGATCCGTGAAGAATTCCGGAGCGATCTCATTCATATTGTTGAACACATGGTACAAACTCTGCATGTAGTGGTCAAAGCGGTCCTGCGAGGCACTGCCCTCCAACACCGTCCAAATATCCCGCAGTGTTGACCCAAAGCCCAGAATGTGCGCCTGCCACAGCTCATCGAAAACGCCGTTGATCTCATGGGCGACGTACTTCTGGACGAAAGGCTGGACTTGCTGCCACACGCACTTTCCCCAGTCACCTGCTTCTGCATCGTGACAAGGATTAGGACGTTTCTCGCTGGGCTCGGGGAAGAAATTGGTCAAGATTGGGGTCACGACATTGAAAAGGGCCTCGTATGGCACAACGTCTTCCACCGCAGTCTTCACAGCCATACTCAGGAAGTTCCAGCAAATAAAAGCGGCTGCCTTGGCGGCCTTCCTTCCAACTTTTGCCCCAGGGTTCTTATTCTCGTAGTCTGTAGGATTGGGTGCGCATTGACAGCCTGCATTGTTCTCAGCAGATGCCTGCAACAATTCTTGTTTCGGCGGATTCAAACTGCCGTATACGCACATATATTGTACAAAGCATCACGAAGATGATGCTGCTCTTCTGAGTCCCAGGAAACGGTTGCCACATCGAACAACGAGCAAGCCATGTTTCGAACTTTGGCACCCGACATCCGTCGCTTCACACTTCAAGGGACCTCCATGCGTCATACTTCACCTGCGGCCGACATGCGAATGCAATAAGGCATTTACTCAGCCATGCCCAGCTCCAGCGGGAGGAAGAAAATAGCCTGACAACAGGCGACATGTTCATGCCCTCTACAAATTTTGCTTGAACGTTTTCTGCCGTGTTTTCGCGTGTCGATTGCAATGTTGCTATTGGCTTTCATTGGGATTTCTCTCTCGCTCTCTTCTTCTTCTTCTACCCCGCTAAGGGGAACCCTTGAGGAGGCCTTCTGGGCGCAACGCCCAGCGGCACTGCCCAGTCTGTCGTTCTCTCGCTCTCTCGCACTCTCTCTCTCTCTCTCTCTCGGTCTCTCTCTCTCCCCTCGCAGAACCCTCGTAACCTGTCAGAGCCTCGCAAAAGTATCGTTCCCCCAACCCATTGCCCATTCACGTTCACCTCGTGCAACCAAAAAACCCCTTGAATAGAACCAAACGTCGACAGTCAAACGTCACTTCTGAACAATTCTCTGCACAAATTCTGCCAAAGTCTAGCACTCGCCATAGCCCAGTGTAACAACCCACGCGCAGTCGCCTGGAAACATTGCGCAAGGAGCCCCATTGTGACAAGCGGCAACCCATACGACACGGTTTTCGCTGGAAGCCAAACGGCTTGTGGCAGATTTGGGCTAAGGCGGCTAAGGACATCCGTCATCTTCTCTGCCACTACTTAGCAGGATTCAGACGAGTCCTGTCAGGTGGGCAGAAGATAGCAGAAGCCGGGAGCCCTGGATTGAAACTCAGCTTGGAGGGGCCTCTGCGGTCGTGGAGAACCATTGAGCGGTTGCCCAATCCAAGCAAGGCTGAGGCGAGCAACATCAATGAATCAAGGAACAGAACACGATTAAAAGGTGTACTCACAGGCACAAAACAGGACGAAACAGGAGTGACTGCTAGGCTTCACGGAATTTCACGAAGCTACGAGCTCGCACATGTCACAAGCACACAAACCACACAAGCGCTGCCAAGCCCCTCGGAGTGGCCATGCAAAAAGGTGTGCACGCAAGTGTCAGGATCCGGCCGATTCCCATGCCAACGACAAGCGTGGCGGCCGCGGGTCCCATCTGCTCATCCCAAGCGAGCAGGAAGAGGAAAATGGAGTTTAGATGGGTTGGAATAAACAAACACAACGGGCCTACGACAGCTGCAACTTCAGTATCTGCCTCGTCTGCTCTCGCAACTTGCAGATTGGGGCATGTGAAGAGACCATACACCCTATGTCGCTGACAGCCTTTCATGGATGCGAGATTCTTTAGGGTTTAGGTTTAGGGTTTAGGGTTTGGGGTTTAGGGGAGGGCCCTTGGGATGTTGAAGTGTAGAAAATGATGGCAAGGACAGAAAAATTGAGGCCACCATGGGTTCGCCCTCGCATAGGCGCTGGCAAACCACAAGTCTTGACCGCCGCAGCAGCAGCAGCAGCAGCAGCAGGAGTAGCAGTAGTAGTAGTAGTAGTAGTAGTAGTAGTAGTAGCAGCAGTAGCAGTAGCAGTAGCAATAGCAGTAGTAGCAGTAGTAGAAGTAGTAGAGGTGGTAGTCAGGGAGACCACCTGGCCCAGTCAACATCCCTTCTTGGCTACCAGGATTCCTCTGCCAGCTCAAGGTTGGAGCGGCAGAGCCTGAGTCTCTGCAGCAAGGTGGAAAAGCCCCTTCTGAAGTTCTGAAGACACTGTGGCTCTTTAGAAATCCGATCAGCTGTCCCTCTAGAATCTTTAGTTCCAAGAAGCCAAACAAGGAAATGACCAACTGCCAGCTAAGGTAAAGCTGGGGGCAAAGGGCCTAAATGAATCTCATGGCTCCAGGCTCCAGGCACAGCCAATGTCCCGGGCCATGCTCCCTTTACAACTCAAATCGAATAAAGTCTGGAGAAGATGGCTTGCTGCTTCTGAAACGGCCAAGGCTCGAAAGGGTCAAGGCGGCGTTGGCCTTCCAGCGCTGCAAGTCCTTGGTCCAGGCTTTGAGGGATCCGGGCAAGGGTCAGCGGGTTAAGGCCTTCGGCGCAATTTGGGACTAGCTGTCGGTTGCTTGCAGGTGCGGGCCGGGCGGTTGTGTGTGACGCTTGAATACGATGCAGCCTGGGAACGCTCGCTTTCAGCGCGCCTCAGCGCGCGGCACTGCAAGTCTGCATGGCCTGCAACTGAAGCTTGTTTGCTCTGCAAGTCACTGTCTACAGCCTGCAACATGGTTAAGGATTGAAGCTGTTCGCGACGCCACGTGCCATAAGACTCCACCGAAGCAATGCATCAACGTCACACCTCCACTCCACAAGCTCGCCAGGGCTCTCAGAGACACTCTACAGAACCCGAGGCTTAGGAATGTCAACCCTCAAGGCAGTTGGGGTGCCGTGTGTGCGGGGAGCAAGCGTGTGTCCAGCACACCTGCCACGGACGAAGAACAACCGTCTTGAGTGCAGGGGACGTGCGGCCGGGGAGGATGGCATCCTGTCCTCCTCAGTGACGAGAGGCTTGGTGTGCAGCCTCGGAGGTGCGTGGGCTCAAGGCCGATTGAGGCCGCCAGCATTTCTGCTTCAGGGCAGACTACGACCATCTTGAACCTCAACAACTTGAATACCTGATTCATGAAGCAGCCCTTGCGCAGGGCTGCGGGGTCTACAACGGCCTGTTTCTCATTTTAAAACAGGATCAAAGCCAAAACTGGAGGACTCAGAGGACCTGCAAAGCAAGCTCGGCCTCAACAGTATACGCTTCCCATGCGGTTGCCCTCATCGTTCCTTTGGTTTTTGCACCCCGCCCCCCAACCCCCACTTGGCTCGGAGGTCATACCTAAAAGCCATACCAAGCAGATTTGTTCAGGTTGATGCCCCCCTTGAGCCGCAGCGAGGGATACAAGTTCCGAAGGGGATGGTTTTGCATTCTTGGGCTAGACTGTCACAGGGGCTATCGGCCCCTTGTAAAGTCCTCATTAAGACAGCTCACAGATCCCACCACCGATAGTGGTCCAGGGATCGCAAGGCCACCTGGGCCAGGTCGAAATGGTTGCATGTTTCTGTTACATTCCTCATGCGAGTCATGCGACTCATGCTGTTAAGCAACTTCCCTACATTCCCTAAACTCAAGCTTAAGAGAGAGAGAGAGAGAGAGAGAGAGAGAGAGAGAGAGAGAGAGAGAGAGAGAGCGAGAGACAAAAACAGGCCTGAACAACGACCCCATGGAAACTACTGCTCAAGAGCCAAGACAAATGATGGACAGGAGCCTAGAAAGTGGTGTGCGAAGCGTGACGTCCACATTGACAACGAATGTGATCTGAGGGATTGCTAGCTGCTGTCGCATCACGCAGGCCTCACTGGCGCCGGGAACAGCGAGACCGATAGGAGGGCACATTTTCTGGGGTTTTGCAACGTCTCCAAGGTGCTCCCGAAGTCATGACGAGTCACGTGGCAGAGGAGCGGCCATGGCCAAAAGCAAAGGATCTCTCAGACCCAGTAAATCGACGTGAGGGTTTTTCTGGGTGCTTGATGGGCTTGGGGTGAACTTGGAGGCAAACTCTTGGCAGGATTGGCATTCAGTCCGTCGCTCTGTTCTGGGGGTTGGGGAGGGGCAGGGCTTTGATGGTCTAGGGATGCTCGGGACGTTGAGGAAAGTGCTATTTCAGAAGCACAATTTTTGTAAGCCTTCACGGACACAGAAGACCAAGCAAGCTTCAAGCGATCTGAATACGTGGGCTACAGTCTGCCCTTGCGATGCCCTCATTTTCGCTTCGCGATGGGCTTTTGCATACCAGGGTCTTGAGGTCAAGCCGGTCAAGCCTGCCTCACACGGAAGTGAAGGGACTGCCGCTGCAGCCCTGCATGGCGTGGCCGTAGGAGTCTCTCAGCCGCTGCACAGCTTCCAGGATCGTAGTCTCATCCGGCTTCTCGAAGCTCGCGGCCTTCATCCGATACTTGAGGAAGTAGAGCCCCTTGACGGCTGCTTGGGCCTGGTGCACCGTTTGCAGCGCCAGGGAGGACTGACAGCCCTCCAGGCGCCTGAAGGTACCGAAGGCATCACCATCGACCACAATGGACACCAGCTCCCCCAACAGGTTTGAGGCCTCCCGCCAGGTGGCCCGCAGCTCGCGGTGGCTCTCCTTGAGAGTCGCCATGGCGTTCGTGTAGCTCAGGATGAGGTCGGAGAAGCTCACAGTACAGGCCTCGAAGTTCTCCATATCAGTGAAGGCGGCCTGGAAAGCCATGAGCTCGTCGTGGGCAATATCCTCGTACTGGTCCATCCTGTTGCGCAAGCGCCACCAGACCTGGTCTAGGGAGACAAGCATGGAATGGCGCTCGAAGCCCGACATCTGGCTCGCAAACTGCCCTTGCTTGCTCACAGTCTCCGAGCGACTCTGGGAGCGATAAACGCCCAAGATGTGGAGCTGTCCTTGGACTTGCCCTTGAAGCCGGCTGACGTCGCCCGCCAGCTGTCGCAAAATGATATTGGACTTCTTCTCATTGCCGCTGGCTGCCCGATGGAGAGTCGCATGCAAGTCGTGCAGCCGTTGAAGGAAGGCCGTTGCTTCTGAGGCATTCGGAGCGTCAGGAAGGTCGGCACCCTGCACGAACTGCTGCAAGGCATCCTGGGCAGTGCTGCGAGACGCTGCCTTGCCATAGCGCGCCCCAGCCGTCTCGGCCAAGCTCTTGATCTCCAGCATCATGGCGTCCGCCGAGCGCTGCAGCAGCGCGTTGTCCGCGCCGAGGTGTGAGAGTATCTCCTTGAAGTAAATGGTGTTCAACTCATCCGAGTAATCCTGCTTGCTTGCAATGTACTCGTTGAGGAGCTTGGTGGAATCGAAGGACCACTTTGCCATGTTCTTGATGTTGGTGTTTGTCTTCCGTGTGGCGGTCTCCAAGTTCCGGATGATGGAGCGATCTCCACGAACGACAGCATCACGGGTGCAGTGCAGGTCGCAGAACATGCGCGCAAAGCCGATCTGCATGGGGTTGCAGGCATCGAAGCCTTCCTGCCCGAGCTTCATGTCGAAGGAGGCATCATGCATGTCGTAGCCGAAGTCCAGGATGTCGTTCGTCAGGTCCAAAGTGCCCTGGCACAGGTCTCCGGACGTGACCTGGACGCCAGCACCGAAAGGTGCAATTTCGACGTCTGGCAAGGCATCGCAAACCATTTCAGCCGCCGCCGTACCAATGGTCCGTGCCCACTCCCTGTGAACTCCTGAATACTCTTTCTCCGCCGCAAGCAGATCTCTCTCGGCATCTCCCGCAAAACACTTGTCCACGTCGTCGTAGAGCATGTTCTCGGGAGTATCTGTCCCATCTCCTTTCCCGAGCGGTCCGAAGATCCCGTTCACGTTCTTTGCCACCTCGCATGGGTGGTAATCTTGCATCGTCTTCTCCGCCGTGCCGGGGTCTGCCTCCAGCGCCGCGTCCTCTGTGACTTGCTCGTCTTCGGCGTTCTTGTAGGTCTCCGTGATCTTCTTCCAAAGATCCTTGTAGTTCAGGCACTCCGCGGAGTAGGTGGGCATCGTCGCTTCGAACTCCTCGAGCTCGGGCATCTTCGGCAGCTTCGGCTTCTCCGGCTTCTTCAGCATACCCAGGAGCGCTTTCAAGTTGCTCTTCTTCTTTGGCTGCTGCTTCGGGACGCCCAGGGCTTCGAAGACCCCGTCGAAGTTGCTGATGTTGACGACTTCGAAGGGCAGACCACCCAGGCGCAACGGAGTCACGGCGTCATCGACCTCGCCGCACTTGTCGCCGATACACCACTTACCCTTGTCAGTGTCAAACTGCAGGAGTTTGCCGTCAGCACTCTTGTAGACAGGGCGGCCCGACACGTCGAGGGACTGCGGGCAATACTTGCCATCGTCACCTGCTGGCTTCCGGTAGCCGGCTGGCTCGATGACAGTGGGGGAGCCGCCAGCCTTGCAGCAGAAGTAGCGCACCCGAGCCCACCTGCCACCCTCAGAGAACTCGAAGTGGAACGACGAGATGACAGAGTTCTCGCCGCAGGAGACGACGAGCTTGCTGAGCGTTTTCTCCCAGCTGCCACGGTCTCCTTTGAAGTAGGGCACCTCCGCCTGGCCACTGAAGTACTCGAAGCAAGCACCCAATCCGCCGATGTAGCTGCACTCGTACTGGTAGCTCTTCTTCACCACGTCCAGCTTGACTCCGGTCAGGGCCTGGCCAGTCTCGCACTTGACTGGGTTCTCGGCCAAGATGTGCCACCAGTCATCCCAAACGTCACTGTTCTTGTCACGGCTGATCTTGGAGTCCGTCGACTTGCCGAACTGGATGAGCGGGGAGAAAATGCAGCTTGTCCTCGCGTTGCTCGAACTGCCCCCGAAAAGCTGCCAGAAGTCAAGATTGTTCAACGCACCGTGTGCACCGCAGAGCGACGTGTAGGCACCGTGGAGATCCGTCGTCCTCTGCTGGTCCTCCATCACATGAAGGCTGAACATCTTCAGTGGCACTTCAAAGGGATCGATCTGCTGCGCGACCTTGGTGTCGTTGCAGTCCTCAAGCATGAAAACCTTTGTGGGGTCGGCCTGAAGGCACTGAGGTTTCGACTGGCTGTCAGACGAGCCATCCGCAAGGTACTGAAACATGCGCTCGTGCGACTCTGAGGAAGGGATGATCTCCGCAAAGAATGCTGTGTTGCAGCTCTCCTTCGGGTGAAGGGTCATGGCATGGCTCTCGGCATCCTTCTCCAAGCAATACCTCGAAGGCGGCCCGGCCAAGTCCTTCACGTCCTTCATGCCCAGCTCGGAAGTGATGTGCAACTGCATCCGATTGAAGAAGTACAGCTCCTGCTTGTCACGGTCGTCCAAGTCCATGTAGCCTTTCCCGGCCACTTGCAGGCATTCCTCGCACTCGAAGCTCTTGGCGGGACCATCCCACTTGCCGTCCACGCACTGCAGGTACTGCCCAAAGGAAGCCTTGGCCTTGTTGAGGCCAGAGAACCTCTCTGACCAGCAGGACAGGAAGAGCCTCTGGCCATGCTGGAAAGTGTCCGGAAGCTTGCGCTTGTGCGACCACGCGTGCGAGAGCGGCCAGCGGAAGGTGGGGTGTGAGCAACTGTGCACCCCCATACCGCCCAGGAGGAGCTGCGCATCGCACTGCTCGTAAAGGTGGAGGTTGGGGAAGCCTGTCACGGCGTAGGACGAAGCCGCCAACTCGGAACGTTGGCTGGCTTCTGCTTCCGAGGCGAGCATGGAGACGACCCGGTTGTCCCCGTAGATCCTTGCGATGGAGACGTGGGTCAAATGGACATGAGTATTGCATTTGCGAACCAGCTCAAACTGGATCTTGCCGCGGGGAGAAGCGTAGATGACTCCAGATGCGGATGGCTGTCGTGAGATGTCCTGGCGCATGTGGGCGTAGGCGCCGTGGTTCACGGCAATGAGGTTTTCATGGCAGGACCACTCTTCTTTTTCTGAGAACGAGTGCACTTCGAAGCGATACAAGGCGTTCGGCACGAGATTCAGCACGACGGCAGTAGCGCTTCCGGGCTCGTTTCGCACGTAGCCACGGGCCTCCTTGCGCATGTCTTTCCAGCCGGTGAGCTCGAGCTTGTAGCCGTTGGCGATGTCCCTGGTGACCGTGCTTTCCGTCCCGACCCATTTGTACGCCAATGTCCAGGGCTTCGAGTCAGTCTCCATCTCCGCGGACACCTGGAAGGTGCCCGCCTGAAGCTTCCACTTCAGGTACCGGATGGCCGACTCCATCTCGGATTGCGCAAGCGCCCGATCCCAGGTAATGACCTCCATCACGGCGAAATCCGACACCGAATCCTCTCCAGCTTTGTAGCCGGCATTGATCACGACGCTGTCCGGGAAAGTTTCATGTCGGCTTTTGCTCGCGGCGAAGTTGTAGTCGCCGAAGTTCTTCAGACCGCTGTAGACGAGCTTCGCCTTGTTGGTGCCACACATCACCATCCAGTTCATGTCATACCGATGATGGTAGGGATATGTCACCCAATCACCATAATAGGCAACTCCCACGTGGCCCTTCCAGTGGCCTTGTAGAAGGTTGTGATCCTTGCCTTGCAAGATGCGCCCAAACTTTCCGGCCACGTTTCTACCTGTGTACCTTGACACCGAGCACATGGTGAAGGAGCTCTTCAAGATGGCGCCGAAAGAGAAAGCATCATCGTGAAAGCCTTGGATGTAGGTCACGGGCCGATCTGCCCCGAAGCCGGCAGCCGAAGCGCGCCAGACGCTGTTCTTGGTCGAGACGCCCACGAAGTCGCCCACGCTGCTCTTCCACACGCTACCTGCGTCCTCACTGCGGAACCATGAGACCATGCCCTTGCTCGGGGGGTCGGAGGGCTTCGCCGGCGGCTTGGCGCTGACGTGAAGGATCTTGGCCACTGAAATGGAGCTGAAGTGCAGGTGATCGCACCTCCGCTCCATCTTGAACTCAATCTCCCCCGCGTCCGTGGCGACCGCAACGCCCGAGGCGGCAGGGCGAAGGGACCAATGCTGTCGCATGCGCGACCAAACGTTGCCGCCGTTGATGAACACTCTGTTCCATACGCATCGATGGTCACCGTTTTCCCAGGAGTAGATCTCATACACGTACCGCGCCTTGGGCTCCAGGCCAGACACGACGGCGTAGGCAAATCCTGGTGAGCTCCTGACGAAGCCCCTCGCGTAGCTTCTCATGTGCTCCCAGCCCCTCGTCGTCAGGGTGTAGCCGTTAATCATCTTGTCCTTATATGTGAACGTCTTGTCAGCGTCGATGTGGTCTTGGCTGGACGAATAGAGCCAAAAGTCCCTCATGGGGTCGCCCAGGGTCTCAGTCTGCTCAAAGGTTCCCGCCTTGAGCTTCCAATCCAAATATTTCGTCACCTGCTTCATCTCAGCCTCCGACAACGCGCGGTTCCAGGTGATCACCTCCATGACTCCGAAGTTGGATTGAGAGGAAGGGAACTTGCCCGTGTTGATGACCAATGTCTCTTTCAGGTCTCCCAGTGGGAGGCGGCTTGACCACGCCACATTGCGGCTTCCATCAAAGATCAGCTTCGCCTTGTTGGTGCCACAGAAGACCAGCCAGTTCAGGTCATGGAGCTTCTTATCGCTGTATGCAACCCATTCGCCATAGTGCGCGACGCCGACTCGCCCATTGTGATGGCCATGCAAAAAGTTGTGGTTCCTTCCCTGGAGAATTCGAAACTGCTTGCCGGGGTCGCTGTCCGTGTACCTCGTCACAGAACACAGAGTGAAGGTGTCTGGCAGGACCGCGCCAAACTGGAATTCATCGGCATAGCTGCCCTCGAGGTAGGTCACGGGCCGGTCAGCACCAAAACCCGCAGCACTTCTTCGAACTGGACCGTCCCTGACTGCAAAGCCAACGAAGTTGCCGACGCTGCTTCTCCACAAAACGCCCGCGTCCTCGGACTTGAACCATGAGACCATCCCTGCGCTCGGCGGGTCGGCCGGCTTTGGAGGCACTGGGGCCACTTCCACCTTGCCAGCTGCACTCGCCTTCTGCATCCCCGGCGGCCTCGCCATGTACGCCCGGCGCAGCGAAGTTTGCCAGCAAAGTGCAGCGTCTGCAACCTGGCAGTGCTTCTCGCGTGGCATCGCCGACAGCGTGCCATCGAGCCCGAATTCCCTGACCAGGGAGTCGCAGGCCGCGAAAGTGCGGCAAACACTTGCGGAATGCTGCGTTCCATGCCAGAAGAAGTTGCACTTCTCATCCTCCCGGCATTTGGTCTCGCAGTTGGCCTTTTCCATGATTTCCGACTCCGTGTCCCAATGCTGACCCAACAGCTGCCTTGAAGGGCATGCAAACTGCCCTGCAACGATCGCGTAGGGCGCTGGGATGTAGAGGTTGCCACTGCCGGCCGGGATGGCCTCGAACGCCTCCTCGTTCACAGGGGGAGTCTTGCCCCACTGCGAAGACGCACAGTCGCAGGGATGCAGCCAAAAATCCTCCGGAAGTGGGGTGGATGGATCATCAACCACCATCTTCGGAACGACCTCCTCGGTGTCCAGCCGTGCTGGAACGGAGCACTGCCGGACCTCGAACTGCACGGTTGTGGAGTTCCGGGCGATGCACTTGAGCACCTCACCTTTCAGCTCGTAGTGGCCTGCCTTTGCATGAATGTAGTCAGCTGCCGCCGGGCGACGGATGATCCAGTCCTGGGCCTTGCAGTCGCCGGACACAACGAGGTCGGAGTGCTGGACCGGGTGCAACTGCTGCAACAAGAACTCGTCCTGTGAGGTTTTGGCCCTCTTGCGGTAGACCACCTTGCCATCGGTGCCGGTGCCAAGCGGGCAGTACACGCCTGAGTTCCTCCTGTGCTCCGTGTCCTCCACGGTGAGGCACGTCCGCGCTGCTGCGCAGTCGGTGACTTTGGCTAGCGTACTGTGTTCCTGCTGGTTAGCCAGCAACTCGTAGCGGTAGCAGCTTTGGTCCTTCCAGGAAAAGTGCGAGCAGCTGGGGTCCACCCGGCAGTGGTTGCGGCACTCTGCTTCCGATTCCCGGGCGACTCGGTCGGCCTTGGCCGTGATCTTCTGAGGCACCCAACAAACATTGTCCTGGATGTCCACGGCCATGCTTGCTCGGACCTGCGGCATCTCCGGATCGGCGAAGGCACCCCAAACGGTGCAAGAAACTTTGAGTGACTGCCGGAATGCTCCACCACCAGACTGGAACTCGCCGGCCATCTTGGCAGAATCGAAAATCTTGGCAATCCCTTCAGGAGCGCCAATGAGAAGTTCACCGCCTTCCGACACCTGGATCAGCGGCACTCCATCGACCAAGAGCACACGTATGACGTGGTCATAGACCACGCTCACCCAGTCCACGGAGCTGCTGCAGGCTAGTCGGAAAATCTGCGGCCGCATGCTGCCAGCTCGGGGCGCGATAGGCCTGAGCAAAGGCAGCTCGTCCCCAAAGGTCACGGCCACCTCATCGGTGGGGTAGCTGAAGGACTCCCAGGGCTTCGGCCAAATGGCCACAAAGCTCGTTCGGCTTTCCTCTTCCGAGCGGCCCGTGGCTTTCAAGCGACCAAGCACCACGCAAACGGCCCCGTTCTGGCCCGTGAAAGCCTTGCCCTGCTCAACGATGCCTCCGTGAGCTTGCTGGGATGCGTCCAGGGACACGATGGCAGAGTCTGGGTCGAACTTCAACCAGGGCGCAGTCGGAGCACACGACATCTTCAAGTCTCTGGTCTGTCCTGCCGCCTTGAGGCTGTAGGACGTCTTGTATCCTCCCACGGTGAGCACATGCGACTTGAAGGACATCCACGACTGAGCCACTGCAGCGGGCGCCGTGAAGACCACTCCGTCTGCCTGGTGCGCAGTGACCTCACATTGCACTTTGAAGGGGCCACTCGGTTGCTTCAGCCCCACAATGTACGAGATCACTCCGGTTTGTCCATCCATGGTGAGGTTGTAGGCCGGGAACTCGCAGTCGGAGTTCAGCGTGTAGCGTTTGGCGGTGCGGGGGACTGGCGCCAAATTCACTGCGTCGCCCACCACGAAGTCCTTGTCAGGATATGAGAACGCCGTCGGAGACACGTGGCCTCCGCCGCAGCGGCAGCATGCCTGATTGGAGCTCTGGCCTCTGACCTTCAGGTTGTCGCATTTCTGTGATAGGGCGCAATTCTTGCCCTCCAGGTCCGTCCAGTCCATTGAGTCGGTGCAGGCGAAACAGCTCTCGCCGCGCTTCACAAAGCCCGGGGAGCATTTTGCACATTTGTCAGACTGGAACACAGAGCAGCCGGCACAGTCCAGCTTCCCTGGTGGGCAGCAGGTGGTGTCGATCTTGTCCACCTGATAGTTGAAGATGGGTAGCTCGTCACCACAACTGGTCTGCTGCGAGACGTTGTACCGGTCTCGCTGCGCCAATGAGTGTTTCTGCACGTCGGGCTTCAACAAGGGCACCTTTGCACTGCACTTCGGGGCGAGACGGCCATCGGTGCTGGTCAAATTCACCGAGATTGTCTTCAGCAACTGTGCCAAGCGCTGGCCAGTCGGCTGCGTGACGTCTGTCACTGCGGTTGACGGCGGCGCTTTGCGCAGCTCTGCAATAATCTCTGACTTCATGCTCATGACCGCCTCGCGCAAAGCAGTCAAGTCAGACGCCTGGATGACGTCTGCCTGCGTGCCTGCCTTGCGGTAGGAGTCCATCTTGTACGCCAAGCACTGGCATGCCCATAGGGGCAACAAACACCCCAGTGCACATTGCTTCATTGTCAAACTCGAAGGCAATGAAAAAAGGGGGCTCGGCTCTAAACTTGAGCCCTTGGGAGGGAGCCAAAGAAGCGGTATATGATGTTCTGGAATGATGCCATGTGCGCATAATGATCGCAAATCGGGGGCCATGCCCTTCACTGGCCTATTTTTGGACCCAGCATTTGCAACGCTCGCAGGTCTGTCGCTGGTCCTGTACCCGTTGCATGCCCCGCTTGACTTGAAAACTGAAAACTTGAATGCCATAGCCTGCTCAAGGAATGTGAGATGTGAGCGTTGAACTGCTGACTGCGAATGCTGGAAGTCAAGCAAAGCCGCAGCGCAAAAAACGTCAGTGAATGCTGTTGCTACCTCAGCCTAGAAGCTCACATAACAAGGAAGGATGCAAGTTCGCAGCGCTCAAACTCCGGCGCTGCCTCGCTCGCAACTTAAGCATCCTCCTCTGATGGCAGCGCGAAGCCGTAGCAATCTGCCCTGCGAGCGGGGCGACGGCAAAAACCCCTCAGCTGAAAAGTCATCGAAACCAAGTGCTGGGCTCATTTGTGTCGCGGAGACTTGCTGACATCTTTGCTTCCGGCACCCAGCGCGGCACAGGGAGGCCTAGGTGGGAGCTTTTGATGTGGGAAGCTCTCCTTCTGGCTGTAATTAAATGTCGATCTTGGATGCTTGCGCTGGACAGTTCCTCTTCCGCTTTGATTGCCTATTGCCTGATTTCATGGGCTGCAAGAGGTGCAAACATGGACACTCAAAACTTCAATCTTTGTCATTGCCCTTCTGCAAACAACTCCGCAGACAGCACGAGCGAAACTCGGCTTGAGGCCAGGGCTTTCTTCAGGTATGCCACTACGCCTGATAGCATTCAAGCCAAGACGCGCAGCATCTTCTCAAACTTCGAGTTTACACAAAAACGTGCGCGATCAAAACGGATCCATCAAATACAGGTCAGGAGTGCAACGTTTTGCGGCACTGGGTCGACTGGAACAGCATTGCCAACGAGCTGGAAGCCACATGGCCGCCCTGCAAGATCAGGCAGTCAGGGCACCACAGAACATGTACAACATGTACAACATGTGCACAATGGCAGGCAAAACATGAACTTGGGGACACTCAAAACTTCAATCTTGGTCATCGCCCTTTTGCAACCGAAGACAGACGAGAAAAAATTTCCGCACCAGTTCTAAGCACAGGACTTTCTTTGGGTCATCCGCTTGACGTCACCCACCAAAAGCGTGGAGAACCTCTCATAAACGCAGAAACGCACTGAGGCAAACGAGTGAGTGGAGTTAAGGTCGCGGCGTTACAAGGAACGTTCCGAAAAAATCAACTCCGCAGTCCCGTTTTCGAGAATGCACTGCTTTCAACATGGACATGATTTGTTTGCATCGGAATCCTCCTTGGGCTTCAGCTTTTCTGTGACCGTCCCATCTTGCGAGTCGAGTGGGTCAAGACTGCGGCAGACATGAACTGACAGCAGCAAACTTGCAGAAACACTCCCAGCAAGGAAGAGCCCAAACTCCCAGCCCCGAACCACCTCCCGGAGCCCCTCCCCTGCCCGTGATCGGACGTCTGCCCCTAGCATAAAAACCCGCCGCATGCTCCGCCCTGCCGACGATGGTGCGCTGGGCGAGCGTCCAAACAGCCGTGCCCCAACCCTGGATTCTGCTACTGAATGCTTCTCAAGCAGTCAACGATTTCTTGCGCTCCAAATCGCTCCATGTACGGGCAATTGCTCTCACACACGCAGTCCTTGCGGATCAGCACCCGCACCCGGACGATGGATGATGTTGAGGTCGTGCCTGCAGAGCCTCGCAGAACACCAAAGGTTTGCATCTCATCAACTCCTACAACGGCTGATTTAGCGCTGCTTTTAAAAAGCATGTGCAGCTTAACGTGCTGCAGCTCTCGTAAGTTCAAGAGGACTTCACACTTGCGATAGGTGCAACATGCCTTGCTAGACTCTAACGATTCTATTTCAAACGGCATGTATTCCAACTTTGCTGCGCAGTCTGCAAGAGACGCAGCACTTTTAATCTGTTGCCTCCCAACAGCTAGCTGCTAGCCCTTTTCAATATGCTACCTTTGAAACTGCACGCTGCTACGGCTTTCACTTCTGGCTGAAATATGCTATGCTTGTCAGCTCACAAGCCAAGCGGTCAACATCCAATGCGGGGTGGACAAGCCTACAAAAGAGGTGAAGTACCCAGCTTAAGAATGCAATGCGACCTGAGCGAAAAAGAGGGAGCATTGCTTGATACCCAACACAGCTTTAAGATCTGCGACAGTGAAGTGGTGGAGTCAAAAAAGTCTTGTGTGCGAAAAGACCGCAGCTTTTTTTATGCTGCGAGGGAGCACTGTGTAGCCAGACTGGGGAGCCTCCATTGCGATTGGCCTCCTGGGTAGCTTGCGCTCGAATTGGGTGCGAGCAGTTGTGGTGACCACATTCGCAAAGCTGGTGAGGCCCATCTCAGGATTGTCAGTTTTGTCCCTGCAGCCCCTTCAAAGGCTGCAAACGGATGCCCCGCGAGTTTGTAGCA